ATATATATAAAAATTCTGCTTTTCAACTTTCAATTTCAATTTCCAAGAGCTCTTTGCTTTTAATGTGTTATTCCTTTCTCACCGTATCCAGTACTTGTTTCTTGGGTGCAATTTGTTCTCTTCTCTTTCTAAAGGATAGCTTTTTAATTTTTTTGAGGTTTTATCTCCCTACCTCATCTGTGTCTTCCGAGTTTGTTTGCTTGTTTTCTTTCTGATTTGTCTTTGTCTTTGATGTCAAAGGACACTCTCAGATGCCTTGGCTATTTATATTCAGGAGTGGAAAACTACAAGGCTGATTCAGAGTTCTGTTTCAATAGGTAGTGTTTATTGACTGTGAGCTTTAGTACAGGGCAATCTGGCTGAGCTATTTCAAAGAGAAACACCTACTGTTAACATATTAGTTCTTTTTCTTTCTGGCCAAAGAGATTCTGCATGAATGAAGAATCTTTCATTCTCCTGTCTAGAGTATATAAACCTGGATGACAATGTTCTGGGAGATGGGGGTGAAGGGAGTATGGTGGAAGATTTATCAACATTTGATATAAAATTAATCTGTTGTCATTAGGGGACCTCTCACTCTCAGCAGTGCCTACAGTTCACCAATCCAGCTACCCTCTATTATATCCTCTTCAGGAACTAAACCTAATGTCTCTGCCTGAGTTGGAGAGGGACAATTTCATGGCTGGGTGATTTCTGGATACAGACTTTAAAAAGAACTTTGTGGGGCACCTGGGTGGCTCAGCCGGTTAAGCGGCTGCCTTCGGCTCAGGTCATGATCCCAGGGTCCTGGGATCGAGTCCCGCATCGGGCTCCCTGCTCAGCAGGGAGCCTGCTTCTCCCTCTCCCTCTGCCTGCCTCTCTGCCTACTTGTTCTCTCTCTCTCTCTGTCAAATAAATAAATAAAATCTTAAAAAAAATAAAAAATAAAAAATAAAAAAATAAAAATAAAAAGAACTTTGTGTTTTTAACTCTACCTTCACTGTCATCTCAAAAAATCATTGTTGTCACCAACTGAGAAACATGCCAGAGATTTGGTGTTGAAAATCAAGGTACTTCTTGGTTTTTCTTACTTCTGCTTTAGAATCCAACCTTCTCAGGTATGCTAACTTAGTTAGCATAAGTGTATTTCCCAACCTCTCCTGCTTGCTGGTTTGCAGAATTTTATTGTTATTGATTCCTCTCATTCTCTTTTATTTGTTTAAAAAAATTCCCATTAGTAATATTTTAGTGTCGTTTTAGAAGAAACAATGGTGTGTTCAACTTGCTATATTTTCCTGAAGATCTTTATTTTAATTTTTAATGGCAAATTGGAGGTTTAAATACTTATGTATCAAATCATTGAACTTTTCCTTTACCAACTTTCCAATTGCATTTATTTTTAAAAGAGTATTCCTTATTTGAAATCTCAAAATCATTTGTATTCCTTTTGGTATGTTTTTAACATTTTAAGTGTGTACATTTAACTCAATTATCTGGTATTTATTTTAAGATATAATTTGAGCTAAATATACAAACTAAGTTTTCCCCAAATATAAAATTTATTTTTTCCTAACAATATTTGCTCCATACTCATTGATTCATGATGTTTCCACTACAGTATATTAAGTTCTAATATATACTAGTCTGACTTGACTAAGAATTTAGTGTATCTATTCTTCTCTCGCACTGTATTAATTAGGTAGAATTCTAATTTCCTTCTTCACCTCAAAATTTTTGTAATACTTATCTACTTTTTAAGATTTAAAGATAAATTCCCAAAAGCTTTGCCAGTCTCTCCTCAAAAATCCCATTAGAATTTTTACTAAAATTTGTAGAAATCTTAAGTACTATTCACCAAATATTGCTGTTTTTCCCTTTTCTTGAAGCTGCAAGTGGCCAAGAGTCTTGTTTTCTATGGTATGTGACTGGAGGGTATACATATGTCACTTCCTTCCCTTACCATTTCCTTCCTTATCAATGCTCTAGTGATTGGAGAAGTGTATGTGAAGATATAGCCTCCATGTGCCTGGGCACCTGAGTGACGTCAATGAGCAGAGCCTCCCTGTTGATCTGCATTGGACATATAGTGGGAAAAATATATATTTAAAATTTTTTTGTTGTTAAGCTACTGAGATTGTGGAGTTGTTTGGCCCTTCAGCATAATGTAGCCTATCTATAAATATAGAATTATGTTAATAATAACAACTAATTTGTGAAATCTAGGATTATCTCTAACTTAACTGCTATAGGATTCATTACTGCCAAGAAAAGGACAGGAGTTAACTATTATAATATTAAATTTATTCTAGCTGACTCTCTTGGCTAGCTCCATATCAGTACTTTAGCCCACTTTATGCTCTTTTTTTTTTTTTTAAAGATTTTATTTATTTATTTGACAGAGAGAGACACATCAAGAGAGGGAACACAAGCAGGGGGAGTGGGAGAAAGAGAAGCAGGCTTCCCATTGAGCAGGGAGCCCGATGCGGGGCTCGATCCCAGGACCCTGGGATCATGACCTGAGCCGAAGGCAGATGCTTAACGACTGAGCCACCCAGGCACCCTCACTTTATGCTCTTTTATCAAATTAGGCTTGAAGGTCTCTGCTCCAAATAGTGTTCCCAAGGTAGGGGGATAGGGCTATGGATCCTTAGATCCTGTATTGGTCCCTGTCTTTACACAGATTTCATGAGGAAAACTTCCCTTTTTAAGGATAGCTTTTTTGCCTTCTTTTTTCCTGATGTGTACCCCACCCCTCCACTATTTGAGATTTGTGCTACTAGAAAGAAGTCTCTGAAAATATACTACTGAGAAAGACCCTTGGCTCACCTTTACTCCCTAAGGTTCTCTTTCAAATCACTGAGTAAAAGAAGGGTCAATTCAGATATTCAAAGGCTGAGCCTATCAGTGCATGGAAAGGACACAGAAAAAGGTGAAAAGTAAAAGCAGTTTTTAAAAACTTTCCCCTGAAGCAGAGGTGTGTGCGCTCTTTGTGTATGAGAAAGAGTGAAATGTATATTTGCCTGTCCTTCTGGTGACCAATGCTATGTTTCATAATGTTTCTTCTGGGTATAGAGCTACAGTGTATTTCCCAACCTCTCCTACAGTTAAATATGGGTCATGGAATGTGGGTAGAAGTGACATATGACATTTCTAGGCCTCACGTCCAAATCTTTTCTCACTCAGTGTTTATCTTCTAGTTAGAGCCAATGGAGGACTCCAAGCTGCTATGGAAGGGTGGAGCCCGTATATGGAAGGAGCATGGGTTTTCTTCCTAACCCAATGGACTGTGAATATGAGTGAAAAATAAACTGCAATTGTGTTATACCACTGATCTTTGTAGGATATTTGCTGTAACTGCCTATTCTACATAAAAATAATAGTTCCAAACAAAATTTTGTATTTTATATAGTAAGTCTTTTGTGGAGTGGTGATGGAAAGAAGATAGTTTGTGTTTATGCAGTATTAACTAGTTCATAATAGCTAATTAGGTGAATATGAAAAAGTCATTTAAGCACATTTTATCTGAAAAAAAAATAGAATACCATAATTGGTGGGATATTTTATTATTATGTAAAACCTGAGAAATATGAAGTAATTTTATTAATGTCTATGATAGTATATTAGGTGCTTCTCCTTTGCAGCCACAATCTAAGATTCAGACTTCATGTATAACCATATGATCATATTGCCATTTGAGGCTTTCCCAATGAATTAAAAATTAAGAAAATAAACATCTCGTAAAAGTTGCTGTACTCACTCACTTGTATTAAGAAGTAGCAATACTTTCATACACAGGAACTCTTCCTGGCTAACTTGAAGCTTGACAAACTCCTGTGGGATTTGCCACATGGTGAGGCATAATGAATAGAATGATGATTCCTTCATCCTCTGTCTTGTATCACACACAACACACAAAAAGCAACAGGAAAAAAGAAACAGACAGTGTCTTAGCCAGTTTGTGTAATTTATCTGAGAAAATGAGATTTGCTAATTTACATATTATAGAAAATGTCTTTTTGTAAACAAACTCAATATTTTGTTCACAATACTGAATTTTTGAGGTTAAGAAATTTTAAAGTAAGAAATAATATTAAATACATATTGACCAAGATTAATGTTGTTTCTCACTTTTATTATTACATTTAAAAACCTAAGGAGTTGAGAATGTGGAGCTGAGGAACACTCAGGAAATCATATATTTACTGATGATTTTTTCCTGTTAAAAAATAGATACAAAATTTTGTGTGTGATCCAATTGGAGAATGGATTCAGTTCACAGAAACTGAAGAATGTAGAATAGTTCAGTGTATTCAGTTCAGAGTAGTCAGTGTAGAAGAGTTATACCATGAACTATTCTGGGGGAAATGTATGGTGACAAAGAGAACATTACAAAGGATTAAATAACTGACAAGGCCAAACACTAATTCTGAAGGTTGAAGAAAAAATTTTAAAGGTATTTTCTCAACCATGTGCTGTTCTGCAATATCCACAGTAGTCACATACAGCTAACACAAATTGTGAAAAGAAAACTAGATTTTGACTCAGAAGAGCTAAAATTGATCCTGACTGTCACTCAGATTCTTTGGCAGGATATACAATTCCTCTGAGCCTGTTTCCTGAACTGTATAATGAAGGACACTGATTCCTTATCTATTTCAAGGGATTATAGGGCAAAATGGAATAAAATATATGAAAATTATCTGTTAACTATAAAAACAAAAGTAACTTAATATGTCATATAATTCTGAGTCAGCATTCATCATTAGAATGGTATAAATATTTCCATGAAAAGATTCTTATTCAGTTTAAGGTTATATGTAGAAAATTAATTATAGTAATTTAAATATAACCAAGAAAATTGAAATATTTATCTTTCAATTTTTAAAATAACTGAACTGTCTGATTTTTCTTCTAGGAGGAGAGATAATATCTTTACTTTTTGAAGGTAAGTTAATACTTTCAAGCAAAAATACTTTTAATTTAATAATTATTTTCATTAGTACCAAGGTATAAAATTTTAATTTGGTAAACTAAAAATTTCATTTTATCTTTAAGTATATTTCTTGATACACTTTTGAAGTTTAAAAAAATTGATTTGACATGACTACTATATATTGAAACAAAAGGGGAATCTCCAAATATCAAGTTACTGATATAATGATAAATTTTATTAATTTTGTTATATCAAGCTATATCCTGAGATAATTCTGATAAACATTTCAAGAAAATTCTATTATTTGGGATACTGTGTAATCATCTACTGAAATGTAATTTTAAAGATTATCCTACATATACACTTATGTGATAATACAAACAAAAATCAAGTTACTACTTACTCATTTAGTATTAGATCAGGTGCAAAATATAGCATCTGTCCACTGACATGTTTATAAGATCTCCATCCTAGTCCAAACACCATTAAGCTCATCCAAGAATACTGGATGAGAGTTATCTGGTCATCAATATGTAAATTTCGAAAACCTACAAAACAAATTTAAAAAAATAAAATGATCCCCAAAATCACTTGTGTTAAAATGTTGAAAACACATAGAAATTTGAAAATAGATGTAAGTAGTGTAATATATTGTTTTCAATTTCAATGTATTTTATACTATAAATTAGGAAATATTAATACATAATAGAGTCTGAGAAATTAAGAAACAACTTTGAAGTCATTAAAATTGGTCACTGTGAGTTAGCATTTCTGGGAATTCACTAATTGACAGTCCATCAGTTACACATTTACTGAGAATCACTCATGCGCTAGGCACTGTGTTAAAATGGTTAAGAGGATGAAAGACTCAACTCATGCCCTTAAAAGAAACTCACAAGTCAACAGGAAAGACAAGCACATAAGTACAATGATACAGAAGGTTAACAGGGAATACACCAGGAATTGGGAAGCAGGTCAGGAAAAACTCCCAAGGAGATCATGTGCAAGCAGAGTATAATCAGAGTGTTGAAGAATCTTAAGTCTTTGGGATTTAAAAATAAACTGATTTTATTTTATAAAACTACTGCTTTCAATTGTGCTTTATTTTTATTTAACATCCCTTAATTATGTCTTAGGTAGATTCCATAGTTTTATGGTCACTTTTGTTTTTTGAAACTTAATCCAGTCTCATTTTATTTTATTTTTTATTGACATTCACTATTTTTTATTTCCTTTCCAGACATTTATTTAGTTATTTATTTATTTTTATTATGTTCAATTAGCCAACATATAGTACCTCATTAGTTTTTGTTGTAGTGTTCAATGATTCATTAGTTGCCTATAACACCCATGTGGTTTAAGAGGTTTAGAGTGTGTATGTGTGTGTGTGTGTGTGTGTGTGTGAATCCTCTGGTCTTTCATACCTTCACAACATTTTAGGCCCTTTTCTGGTGTTGGTGGTAGAGGAAGATGACAGGGAGAGGGCAAATGCACTGACTCAAATGGACAAAATCTTCTCTCCACCTCTCTTCAATTCTCATTTTACCTGTTTTGCAGAAAATCACAGCCCAGCACAGATGAACTTAAAGGAGGGAGAAGCAAAGAGGTAAATCTGGATATGGAGGCTGTGGTCAGATATGTCTATTAAGGAGCAACAATATGACATAGCCTTATTTGTGTTTTGGAGGGATTCTTGGTAGGCATGTAGAGGATGGATTCAAGGGAGTTAAGTCTGGAATTACAGAAAAAAGTTGGAGCTACTGCCAAAGACCAAGTGAGAGATGATAAAAGTCTGAAATAAGTCAACAGGTAGGTGTACTGAGTAGGGAGTACATCAGAGAAATATTTAAAGGGTAAAATCAAAGAGATTTGGCAACTGATTATATGTAGTTAGGAGGAAGAAGGAGACTAATAGATGTTTCAGTATTTTTGCAGGAATGGTGGATGACAATGGCATAACTGAGACAAAATAGAAGAGGTAAATAGGCTAGAGACAAAATTGTAAGTTTTGATATGTTGAAAGGACTTTTGGAATGTCCAGACAGTAGTTAGACAAATGAATTAGAAATATGGAGAGATATATGAACTATAAGTATAAATTTGGAAATTATCTGCATTTGAATATAGCTGAAACAATGATAGTAGATGAAATCTTTTATTAAAGGTACATAAAAATCAAGTGTTTTGGTGGGAACACCAAGCTATTTTAATAACATCTGTTCCACCTAAGAATTCATATATATATTTCATTTTCCAGAATATATACTTGGTATATACCAACAAATATATATATTTCTATAATATATATTTTATATATATGTTTTATATATATATAATGACAGGCTCATAGAAAGTTAGGTTCAATTAGTCAGATGTATTAAAACATTAATAAATTGTTCACTACCATCTTCAGGAACATATTTTTATTCTTCATTCCTTTTTTAGTCAATTTCATAACTTTCTGAAGAAAGCATTTGATACTACTGAAATATTTGACCTACTGTATTTTAATCACTCCAGGCCTTTGTTTCATGTTAATCTCTAATTTGAACATGTTTACATCATAATATAACAGTTAATTCGTTTGTTCTTTTTTTTTTTAAACAGATTCCACTTACATTTACATGTTTATGTGTACTTTACCCTACACTTTATTTTGGGGGGGTTTGTTTGTTTTCCTTTTTGCATTCTGGGATTACTAGAAATGAAAATAAAGGAACATTTTTAGTAGATTATAATATAAAAGGCAAATCTTTGCTGAAATAACTTAAAACTTTTGAAATTGCCAATATTTATAGCAGAAAGTGTATTTTCCATTTAACAGAATGAAAAGCAACTCAGAAAATAGCTTTTTAAAATAACCACTTTTTAGAGCGCTTATCTGTGATAAATGTACACTGTTAAATTGACTTGAACATGCCTGGTACAAAAGTGTTATTTTTTTCCCATTAACTGTACTATCATTCATTACTTTATACTGAAACAAAGACAGGAACACTGAGCTCAAATTCCCATTGATGATAATGATCAGGTAAAGTCAGTACATTTGCAATGATGATCAATGAAAAACTTCACATAGAAAGTGATGGATGATCCTTAATTGTGTTTAACAAGTAGTAAGGAAAAATACCCTTTCCTTTTAAGTGACTTGGCCTGATAATTTCTGACAAAAGCCCTGTTACAAGCTGTTCAATCCTTAATGCTTAAAAAAAAGTATATGGTAACACATGGCATGTATAACCTTCTAAGTTCTCCTCTGTTATAAAATATATAGGTTGTACTTTTGTAAAAACTGTCATGTACTGAAACGTTTAATCTACAACAAAGGTGGAGCATTAAATACCTCAGCACCTTCTGACACAAAGTATGAGTGAAGTTTGAGGAGCACAAAAATGCTACAGCAAAATAAGTATAATCACCAACATATATATTATTTTTTTATGAATAAGGATTTGATGGCTAATGATTTAAGATAGCACAGTTAATTTTGTATCAATTCTATAATTTAAATTTCTAGAAATACTCTAAAGGTTCCCTTCTGGATGAAGCATTCTGGTTGCAACTAGGCATAAAGACTAGAAAGATATTTCTGCCTTTAACACTTGCAGTTTGGTAAAACATAAAATGAGAACATAAGTATAACTCAGAGTGATAGTATGGTTGACAAAGGCAAAGGTAATGTGGTAGAGCAAAGGGGCATTTGACTCAGTCTGGGAAGGCCAGGGAACTCGTCCTCAGGGGAAGTGACAGGTAGTTAGAATCCTAAGGTTAGTTAGGGACCAGCCAGGGGGAAATGTGGAAGAAGGGAAGGATCTTCATGTAGGGAAACAATATGGGCAAATGAAGGCAGGATACTGAGCAAACAGCATTGTGAGAACTGAAACTAAGAGTTGCTTGAAGAGGAAGAAAAAGAGATAACACTGTAAATTCAGGAGTCAAATCACAGAAGAATCTTGGATGTTAAGGTTAAGAAGTTTGGACTTTGTTATGAAAAGGAAAGGAAATGATATAATTGGTTATAATTGTTTTTAGAAAGATGATTCTGGTGGCAGAGATTGTTTGGTGGTAGGGTGAAATTGGTAATAGGGTTAGTCAAAGAGCTACAACTGAAATCTAGGAAAAAAGGACAAGGACCTCAACTAAGTCAGGGCAGTAGCAGTGGAAGTAGCATATATAGTGAATCATATATTTAATAAGTAGAGTTGACAGAATTTGTTAACTAATTGGACAGGTGGTGAAGGAGAAAAGTGAGCCCAGTATGATACCCAAGATTCTATCTGAGGCATCATTTCAAGATAAAGAAAAAGGTTTTAGGTTTATGGAGTAGAAGGCTATGTTGACCTGGAAATTCATCCAGGTGGAAATATGTAATAAATAGTTGAAATACGTGATTCAATAGTTCATTAGAGGGGTTGATACTATGTACTTAGGAGTCACCAGAATATAGGGGTAGTTGAAGACAAGGCTGTGAATGGGCTCATCTAGTCTGTGTAGAATTAGAAACTACTGGAGTGAAAGATGGAATGCAGGAAATGCCAACTTTATGATATGAATGGAAAAACAAATCCACAAAGGAAACAAAATGTGTAAATTGAGAGAAACATATCTACCTGAAGGGAAATGGTAAATGCCAAAGTAAAAGTATCAGCAAGAAATGGTACTTTGTTAGTGGCCCCAAAGGCATGCAAAACACGTTAAGGGTTGAAAGTATTCATTAGATTTGATAAAAAAAAATTTTTTGACATTGGCAATAGTAATTTCAGTGGAATAGGATGCTAGAAAAATCATTTTTGAAGGCTCCATAACAATATCATCAAAGCTTGACCTTACTCATAGGCTAATTTCACTTATTTCCCATCACTTTTTTGGGGGGAAGTAATTTGATTTATTCATTTTATTTGGGATGAAGGAAAAAATCCTTTGTCACATATGCAGTGGCTGTCCCTGACTCAAAAGATATTTTGGCATACTTCAAAGGCAAAAACAAGGCAAAAGACTGTTCCAGTCTTCTGATACTGTTGATTGCAAGTTGTCTGGCTAACTGAGATGAAGAAGTAAAATATTTCAAAAATGCAATGTTGAAAAATGTTAAAGCATTGACCCTTAGAGTTTTTTTCACATAATAAACAGAAGAATCAGGACAAAATTTATAAAAAGGAAATATTTCCCTCAAACCTCTCTCTCATGTAAATTCTGCTATAATATACTGATAAAAAGGATAAATAATATTACAAAGTGAAAGTGAGTTGAGAATAAGTACTTAATAATTTAATTTCCAAAGCCTTCCCTGACTTTCAAGATCCTCCTTGATCAACCCATAACTTATGCCTCTAAGTTTCCTTTGACTACTCTCCCTAACATAAATTTATTATCAGTGGCTTCTTAATAGTTGGGCGATGAAACCCCTGGGATGCCAATACTCACCGAAATAGTGTTTGAGAAACACTGTGCACACACACACACACACACACCGTATCTTCTTTATCCATTCATCTATCAATGGACATTTGGGCTGCTTCCATAATTTGGCTATTGTAAATAATGCTGC